CTCATTTCACCAACCTCGGAAGGATGGAAGGCTGAGTCAACCAAGGTTATTGTTGTGGGGTCAATAAGAAGAGGAAAGTGTGTTGAGTATGTTCATTGCCTTGAGAATAAGAAAGGAAGGAAGGCAGGAAAGGGAGGGAAGGAGTGAGGGAGGAAGAAAAAGAAAAGGAAAGAAAAAAAGAAAAAGATCTGATGACAATCCTTGCAGAAGAGCTGCATTAGAACATTGGTAGCCAAAACTCAGGAATCAGGGAGCAGCTTTTTCTATTTAAAAGAAATTGATTAAAAGGCAGCAGCTTTAATTCACCAAATGCATCATTTGGTGAAACTGCTGCCAGATGCCTTCTGGTTAAGATCAGCAGAGCCTGGCTGGGAATTAGGGGCTTGGATCCCATCCAGAGTCTTTGAAGGCCATCCTCCAAGGGCTGCTGGATGCACTTCACATCAGTCCCATCCAGGAATTCTGCAGCAGTTCCTGGAGACTTCCCAGCTTTCCTGGACAAGTGTCTGTGGAGCCAGAGGTGCCTGCAGGGGGGAGCCCCAGGAGGAATGCAGAGCAGCCCCAGGAGACTCTCCAGCTCCGCTTCTTTGGAGAAGCCATTCAGGCCAAAGCAGGCTGGCCTTTCTCCAACCTGGTGTCTCTGGCGGACTCCAATCCCCCTAATTCCCAGCCAGTTTGGGTGAGGACAGAGGCAGCTAGGGCAAGGTCGCCTGGGAAGATGTCCCAATGCAACCTAGAGACCTCCTGGCCTGGCATCTCAGCTCCTCCTGTCTGCACACCCCACCCCCACCCCACCCGGCCATGGAGACTGTTGGGGTCCTTGGGCAGCCTCTCCTCCTGCTCCCTCCGGCCTCCCTCAGAGCCGTGTGACGCTATCCAAGCCACGTGGAGGGGTTTTCCCTGCAGTGGGCAGGTGGCACCTTGTCATGTGCTTGGGAGGGAATGACACACACACAAACACACACACACACACACAGAGAGACAAAGGGTAATGACAGGAGAGAGGGAGAGCGACAAAGGGAACGTGCGAAGCCGGTTTTCAGAGGTCCCATGACCCAGAAGAAGAGATCAGACTCCAGCTGCCTTTTCACCCAGTTTCAACATCCCTGCAACTCAGTTAACCCCTTCGGCATCTGCCACTCACTCCGCCCTGGGTAGAAACCTCTAGCTGCCAACATCAGGACCAGGAAGCAAGGGAAGGTTGCTGGCAGAGGCGGCCATCCTGCCAGGCCCTACTGGCACGAGGGAGGGGACACAAAGCGCTGCTCCCTCCCCCCCAGCAGTGACTCTCTTTGAAATCAGGGAAAGTTCAGAGTGGGCAGAAAAGGGCTTGGCAGGAAGAGGCTCTTTTCCCTAATGGAATGAGCTGGTCCTGGCCTGGCACGGCCCCTGGCAGAGGACACTGCAATTGGGCTTTTTCTAGAAGATGGATGGGTGAACCTGCAAATCTGTATCTCACAGGGGCCGTTAGCACCCCGGGAGGCCCCTATGACCTGTCCAGGCACTGACATCCACAGGAAGAGGCCCCTTACAGGAGTTTGCAGCTCCTGACTCTCTTCACAGAGGGCTTCAGACATCACACCGACAGAATAACAGAATTGGAAGGGATCTTGGAGGTCTTCTAGTCCATCCCCCTGCTCAGGCAGGAGACCCTATCTTCTGTTAAAAAAATGGCTGTCCAGTCTCTTCTTAAAAGCCTCCAGTGATGGAGCCCCCACAACTTTTGAAGGCCAGCCCTTCCACCGGCTGATCGTTCTAACTGTCAGGAAATGTCTCCTTAATTCTAGGTTGAATCTCTCCTTGGTTGGTTTCCATCTGTTGTTTCTTGTCCTGCCTTCAGGTGCTAAATGATGGTTTCTTCTCCTCCTTTCTCCTTCTCCATTCCCTTCTTCTCCCCATTGCCTGGGGAAGAGCCCATTCCTCTCCAGTGGGGAGGCTTCAGCAAAGGAGAGATCTAAATGGAAGCATTCCTGGTGGATGATTGTCCAGCCATCTCCCCGGGATCCCTGTTCCAGCCAAGGATTTTGCTCCTTTCTGGTTCTAAGATCCCTCTCTTTACCAAACCAGAATGGCCGAGTTCACACATCATTTCCAAGCCAGCAACCCACATGTTGGGTCAGAGTGAAAACACCCCTGGGGGCGTTGAGGGGTTCTTTTATCCCAGCCTTCGTTAGCCAGATTTGGATGTTAGCCATGTTCTTGGGATCACATCAGTGGTGGGTTGCCCCAGTTCGGACCGGTTCGCAAGAACCAATAGTAAAACTGGTGGGAGGCCCCACCCATCGCCCCGAATGTTGTCATCGGTGATCTGCGCACACACATGAAACAGATCACAGATACAACATCTGCAAGGCAACCCACCACTGCCCACCCACAAGTCAGCTTGGCCACCGCTCAGCAGACTGGAAAGCTTCCCACTTCAACCCTTTTCTTCCTCACCTTCAGCCCACAAAACCTTCTTGAAACAGGAAATCCACTTAAGTGCATTTTATTGAAATTCTTCCCTTCTTGCTTATTGTTTATTTGCTTATTTGTACCCTATGACTATCATTAAGTGTTGTACCTTATGATTCTTGACAAATTTATCTTTTCTTTTATGTACACTGAGAGCATATGCACCAAAGACAAATTCCTTGTGTGTCCAATCACACTTGGCCAATAAAGAATTCTGTTCTGCTCTGTTCTGTTCTGTTCTTCCGGGTCAAGCTGAGCTTGCTCACCGCTTCCCAAGCGAAGGAATTGAGGGTCAGTGGCTTTGGGTGGATTTTGCTCCAAGTCTTGGCAGTTCTTTGCCTAACCATCTCACTTGTGTATCGTGGGGTGGGGGGAGGAATGGAAACTTTTTTGCAGGGACCAGTTTGGAGAGGTTTCCTCTCTTCCCTTCCTTCAAGATCCCAGACGGGAACCTCCGTTTCTTCTGCTTGGCCCGAACAGAGTCAATGCCTCCACATAGACTAAGTCAAGGGAAAACGCCACAGGATTCTCCTACAGAAATGTGGAGAGGGGCTCCCACTCTCTTGGGAATTAACAAACTGACAAGTAACACAAATCCAACAAACACAGCACTTTTCATGTACCCTTGCCTTGTTGCACTTTTTTGGGGGGAAACTACAACAAAGCATTCGTCTTAAACATAAGCTACAACACAAATACCTTTACAGGAAGTCTACAGGGGAATAAAACCTGGATATTTCCTGCTTCTCCCTTGTACCCAATTGGGTCCTTTTTCCTGCTTCCATTCTTTTTTTCCAGCAAGCCTCTGTTGCTAAATAGCCTGGGGCTTTCCATTCCACTTCCTTTTTTGCCCTGGAGATCCTGGAGATCTGCTCACAGCTTTGCAACTATCCAATCTATTCAAACTCCAGGGGAGGTCCGTCCCCCCCCCCCCCCCCCCGCTTTGTTTCGAATTGTAACTTTAAATCTTGATTTCTAAATGAGATTTATTTCCAATACCTTAATCTGAGCTCTTTGGTTTCACTTTAAGTTTATCACCACCCTGAAAATCAATACATGTGAAAAGAAGCACCACAATGATGGTTAAAGCTGCAGAGTTAAAAGCTGTTAATTGATTGGATCCACACCACTTGGGATTAATTCGCATTTCCTGTGCCGGCATTTAACATAAGCATCACTTTCTTTGCACTTTGCTTGTGAAAAGTTTTATGCAGTGCAGACTTTCAATTTTCTTAATCTTCACCTTCCCAACGAGTGTTGGGTCATATAAAAGAAAGAGCCATTATTATTAATATTAATATTATTATTATTATTGTTGTTGTTGTTGTTGTTGTTGTTGTTGTTGCTGTTGTTGTTGTTATTGGGTCTTTTTGGAGCTGGTCTGGCTTGAGTGTCTCTAGTAGTGTTGGTCTCCATTCCCCCAGCCCCAAATGGGCCAGGTAGGTAGGGTGGGCTATAATTTAATCGGGGAGAGAGAATGTCATGTAAAGAAGCCATATTGTGTGACCGTACATTGTTTCTGGATTTGGGCGTTCTACCTCAAAGAAGGGTTTGCATTTGTCTGAGGTTCGGGAATCTTGATTTTTATTTAAATACTTTCTAAGTTTGCCTCTCTTTTTTTCTCCCTTACATCTGAAAGCATTTTGTTTTCCCTTTCATTTAAACCCCTGGAAAAATCAGGAAGACATAGAAGGATAAGAAAAAGGACACTAAATATTTTATTGAGATTCTTTTCAAGAGATTCCGTCTGAGTATTTAAAGGAAACGGGAGGTCTCTTTCTATCTGCATATACACATACAGGCACATTTATCGAATTCAGTTGCAAAATGTGGGTGTTTTGGAGTTTCACAAAAGTCTTGGTTTGGGGGGGGGAGAGAGAAATCCCCTTAAACCAACAGAGTAGTTAAATCTCCTTCCATTGTGAGCTGCTTTAGTAGCCCATCACACCTCTCGTGCACTTCCTCTCCCTCTGAGGACGTTGTCAGCCCAGCACCCTAAAAGAAGTCCAGGGCAACTTCAGACAGAAACACCCCTTTACTTCCAGGATAAGCCAAGATTAAATAGAAATTAAAATAGCAAGTTAATTCGTTGTCTGTAAGGAACTAGAGCAGGGGTGGTCCAACCTTGGCAACTTTAAGACTTGTGGACTTCAACCTCTGGAAAGTGGAGTCCACACGTCTTAGAATTGCCAGGGTGGGACACCCCTGAACTAGAGAAATAAAAACATGTGTGCTTTATACACACACACACGTATGTATGTATGTATGTATGTATGTATTAGAAGGGTAGAAAACCAATAGTTTTTTTAGGCAGCCACTAAACCTGGTTAGGAGCCGTATTAGCCATCCAGTGAAAGTGAGAAACTTGCAAGAGTGATTGCATAGGCCACCCCTGTTGGACAACTAAGGAGGAAATGAGTACACTCAACTATTTCCCCAAGGGGAGGAGGGAAAAAAACTTGGAGTTTCCAGGCAGGTAACATCCCTGGGTATATAACAGGAGGCAGGTATCAAGGTGTCTCAGATCACTGCTCTTGCAACGGACTTCTTGCTTCAGAGCGGCAGCTGCGAACCAAAAAGGGACTCCGAGCATCCTTCTCTGCCTCTTTCCCGCAAGCTCAGCCAAGATGGTAAGTAGGCGGCCTCTGCCACCACCAGGTGTGCGAAGGAAATGCCTCGGGGCCAGACGAAGACCTGGCCAGGGATTCTGGGCAACTGGCCAGCGAAGTCAGCAAGGAGCGGATGGCCTCTGGGTCTGCCCACCTGCCAGTGGCGTGGCATGTGCTCGGATGTGCTTCAAGCACTCTGCACATGCTCAGAGGTGTCTAAAGCAAAGAGGGCTGCGGGTGCAGAGGGAAGTGGAAATGGGAGGTGGAGCCTTCAAAGAGGTGTTGTCTTCTCCTTCATCTGTGGCTTTCGGGAAGCAGCCTTTAAAAAGGCAGAGCATCTCATGTTGCTAGCCGTCTAAAACTCAGATGACGCTCTCTGATCATAAAAATATCTTGGCTTCTGTTCAATCGCCCTGGCCAGACAATTTTATGGTTGCTTGCACAAAAGGAAGCGACAGAGGTTATTCTCTAGAAAGTACGAAGGGCAGAGGCTTCCTGGAATGCCTTCCATTCAACTACGGATAAGAAAATGTGTTTTAAATTAATTGGGTTTGTAAAGTTGTAAACCTCCCACTGGAGAGAGAAGCTTTGTGGTTTAATTCCTGATCACAAAGCTCAGGGAATGGGGATCGGTTAAGCAACGGTAGCTCCACTCAGAGACAACAAATGCTCCTTGCTGTTGTAAACTTGATAGTCCCAAAGATGCTTTTTCCTTGAGAACTGAAGAAGCTTCTTGGATGAGAAGCGAAATGTTTTCAAGGAAAAAACCCCAAGAAAGTTCTGGTGCCTTTTGGAGAGAAAAAAACCACCTTTGGGACAACTATGGTCTGGATGAGTGAGATGCTCCATTGACAGATAAACTTGATCAAGAAATAACATCTCACTAATTCTGAATGAGGCTTTGGTGGGGGAAAGGAAAGAGTAGTGAAAAGCCTTCTTTAACTTCAGTTTGCCCCCCTTTTGGTCCCTCCAGTGGTCCCTCCTGGTTGTCGTCCTGTGCCTTGCCTGGGCAGATGCCAAGCACGTGGGCTGCTTCACTGCAGAGGAACTGGGGAACAACCCGATTCCGACGCAGTTTCGGAACTGGGTCTCCCTGTTGCAACACCAAGACTGTGTGCAGCTGGTCCCATTCCTGGAGAATGAACAGAGCAGCCGCCCCCACACACGGAGGCATCACAGCCACAACTGCCCGAACCTGAAGCTCCAGGATATGCAGACCGGCGAACTGCAGAAGCGCTCCATCTCGCCCTGGACATACCAGTAAGGACCTTGCATCATGAGTGGGAGGCAGCCTGGGAACCTGTGGAGCCCTGGGAGGATGTTTGAAAGGCAGGGGCCAAGCTGGGATTGATCCTCTGCTCCTGTGTCTCCTCGTTTGTCCACCCCAGACCCTTCCCCTTTCCTGGCTGGGATTCCATCCAGGTGTATCTGGATCTAAAGACCTTCACAAGCTATGGTTTATTAGAATCCTTCGGTTCATCCCATTTCCAGAGGCCAAGGCCAACAACCCCCGGGATGGCTTGGTGCTCTTGGGTGATGGCATCTCCTTGGGGATCTCATGGCTCAGAATGGAGAAAGATTAACAGATTAACAGAGTTGGAAGGGACCTTGTAGGTCATCTAGTCCAACCCCCACCCAAGCAGGAGACCCTACACCATTTCACCAAGAGAAGCAGTGCATCCTTCTGGGATGTTGGGGGACAAACGAGTCCTCTCTTTCCCACGTGGTTGGTTTGATCCAGCAGTGCATAGATCTTCCCACCAGACAGGCGCTCTCTTGTGTGTCCCCCAAAGCTTCTCTGACCGACCTACCTTCTCCAGTTCCCGGGAGACGTCTCAGCAAACAGTTCCCAGAATTCCTTGGGCAGGGCAGGGCAGGGCAAGGGAGACATGGTGGCTTCTAACCCTTTTTCCTCTTCCTCTATTCCACAGCATTGATGAAGATGAGAACCGGTTCCCCCGCCAGCTGGCCTTCGCCAGGTGCAGCTGCAAAGGTTGCATTGATACCATTACAGGCCGGGAGACCACCTCTCTCAACTCGGTGGAAGTCTTCCAGAGAACCATGGTCTTTCGCCGTAAGACCTGCCCGCAGAATGGTGGCAGCGTGGAGCGGTTCTTCTTCGAGAAGGATTACATCGACGTGCCCGTGGCCTGCACCTGCGCCTTCCCACGTTACAGCAGCTGAGCAGACCTCAGGCTGGTCTCTGGGGCTTCGGTCCATGTCCCTCATCCCTCCAGCTTCATCAGGAACAGTTGTGTTTGCTTTAAAGCATTGGTGCTTTGCAGCCAGTGGCTGCCATACCCCTCCTCTGGGGAGGGCAAGGCTGGCCTGGACCCCCCTCCCCTCCCCTCGAAAAGCTCCTTAAAAAGCATTTTACTCACTTAAGGAGATACCAACAGAAGAAAAGGAATTATTGCTTATTTATTTGTATTTATGTTAACGTATTTTTGAGATGTTCGAGTGCTTCAAGCTATTATATTTATTACTCCTGATGAAAGTCGGGCCAATTTGCAGAAGCAGCCTTCCCTACACCTTTGTGTCCCTTTTGGGGGACCAGTTTTCTTACCTGTCCCAGGGCCACCCCGGCACCCCAACATCCTGAGCCTGCATAAGGCAGTGCTAGCCCTGATCTGCCTTCCGGTGTGTGTGTGGGGGAGTCTTCCGGGGCTCCTTCACAGAAGGGAGATGTTGGACGTGTCTCACAGGGTGGACATGAGGCTCTGCCTTCATTTTATCCCTAAGGTGGGCTGAGCTGGGACGTGGCTGGCCCCCAACCCTCCCCCCAACCCCCAGGAGCTGCTATGGCTGGACTGCAGCAGGTCCCTTCCTGATCTTCCCAGGTGGCTCTCTTGGCTGAGCTTCACAGGTGCTCCCTGAGATAAATCTGGTTGGGGGTGGAGTGGGAGGAGTTGCCCACAATCTGGGTTTGCCCCCCACCCATTTATTTCCTTGTTCTAATGACCTTTGCTCTCCTCTTCTATTGTAAAGTGATTTAAATTATTGGATTATTTATATGTATTTATTGTAATGTGATACAATATTTATTGTTCCTTGGGGTTGGACTCCCTGCATTAATAAAGATTTTATTTCTGTACTGAAAGCAGCTGATTCAGATGGCTTTATTCATAACAGGGGAGCCTGATGGATAATTTCAGAGCGAAGCGGCAGGTCTCAATTCCTGCTCTTCCTCAAAGGCACCAAGGTTGGGGGTTGCGATTTTGGGGTTGTTTTGATAATAACAATCATGATGATTTCTCAGCCACTTTCAACCTGGCTGGATGGAGCAAGCTATTATTTTATAGCAAACAGATAAATTTAAAACACCGAGCCAAAATAAAAATTGCAACGTTCTCAAAACTGGTTTATTGAACTAGTTAAAATAAGCAAGGGGGCAATTTGACTTCACATGTTAAATTGAGGAATTTAATAAAGCACAGTAAGTCCAGATAAAATACAGCAAACATGGAAGGGGTGGTACGATTAATTCATTCAATTAAAAATGTTGCTTCTGGGAATATTTGACTAAAACTCGATACACGATTTGTAGAAACAGGGTCTGTCTGATTCGCTTTGAAAAGAAGGAAAGCCGGACTTGATCAGAACTGAAATGAGATGGAGAAAAAGGCGCCAGGAATGACTTAAAGACAGAATAAGAGCAACAGCTGAGGGGAAGCGGAGTTTGGGGCAAAAACTTTGGGGAAAGAGGGTAGAAGTCCTGGAGTGTCTGGTAAGACCCTTGAGAAGGGTGGGTACAAAAGTCCTGCACTCTGGTGGGCCGAGTTGGGGGCAAAATAAGATGGAGAGGGAGGGAGGGAGGGAGGGAGGGAGGGAAGAAGAGGAGAGAGAGAGGACTGGAGGGGATGAGACAGAAGGGGGTGCTTTATCCCTAGATAGGATGTTTTCTAAGGGGGAGAGAGATGAAGCCAAGAACTTTGCTTCCAAAGGAAGCTTTGGAATCACTTTTTATTTCAGCATTTCAAATTTTACACCTTTTCTTTAAATCTTTTCAAGTTTAAATCCAGCCTCAGAAAACTTTATGTCTGTGTACTTAAAACTAATTCCATTTTTTTCATCCTTCGGGCTTAAACTCAGCATCAGTTATGACTTGGCAATTATTGGCATGCAAGCCCTGCCTGTTTCAAACATACCTGGGGGAGGGGAGTCAGCAGGGGGGCAAGGGAGGAAACCCAAGAGAAAGACCACAGAAGTTCAGGTATAGCCATATTCTCCTGCTTGGGAAAGATCTGTCCCGAGTTTCAATCCTGGAGGGTGTCTCCCATGCCTTGGTCAAGCAGAAGTGGAGCCTCTCCCTCCGACTGCAGTCTATCTGATGAGGGAGGCTCCTAAGGAACCACTTCAATAGGGTTTTCTTGGCCAGTTGGCTCTTCCTCCTTTTGCTTCTTCCGGGCTTCTGCAGGGGGTCGGGGAGGTGGGTTGCTGGGGGGGTGCTTAATGGTGCCTCCTACTTGGGGTCTCTCTTGAGGTTTCGCTTCAATGGGGCGCCACTCTTCGCCCTGTGTGGCAGCCTGAAGAATAAAACCAGAGGGAAAGGAAGGAAAATTAGGAAATGCTGGCTTTCGACATCTGGGAAATACCCAAACAAAAGAAAGTATATGAAAGAAATTGGGGGTGGGGGGGGGAAATGCAAATGAGATACCGTGTTTCCCCCAAAATAAGACCCTGTCTTATATTTGTTTGAACCCCAAAATAAGTGCTTGGCCTTATTTTCGGGGAGTTATTATTATTTTGGGGTGTGTGGAGCAAGATGGGGCTCCTCTTGCCATCTTACCTGATTTCCAGCTCTGCGTTTAAATATTTTTGGGGAGGGCTTATTTTTGGGGGAGGTTTATTTTAGCGCATGTGCTCAAAAGCTCGAGGTCTTATTTTCGGGGAAACGGTAAATATTTACAGTTGGCCACTTTAAGGCTTGTGGACTTCAACTCCCAGAATTCCCAGCTAAACTTTGGATTTTCATCATTTATTCACCGGGGTCAAGGTGGTTTGGAAATGCAGCCAACCAAATACTAATTTGACAAATATCATTTTAGACCCAAAGAGGCACATACCCGTTTCTTGTCACCTGTGTAAAACCAAAAACACATTCACAACCACCTTGTCTTCAAAAAATATTTTTATTTAAATGTCCTAGCCGTTCCAGCCAGCAGATGGCGCTGGAGGACCACCAAAGGCTTTTCCCTACCTTGCACAGGTAAAGTCCCTTTGCCACCTGGAAGGACTCCTTTAAACTTTGGCTAAATTAAATAGACAAACTGACTTAACTCATGAACAACCCGCTACATCTTAAGTGGCTATTAATGAGCATTAAAGGAGTGGGGTCCTTTAGATTTTTTTTTTTTTTTACAAAGGGAGAATGGGTGTCCTACAGGTGACTTCTCAGAGTTATATATTCTTATATTTTATCTCTCTCTCTCTGTCCAAAATCCTCTATAAAAACCCTCTTTCAAAAGGAGGAGAGATGAAAACTAATTATGGGAACCACAATTACACACTAATCTGATGGCCACTTACCAGTAAGTAGATGCCACTTGCTATGGCCAGGCAAACGGTGCCAAGGATCGTGGCCAGCAAATATCCTGCAGGAATGGCTAGACTGCCCAGATGGAAGTTTAAAGGAGAAAAGGGTTAGCTAGGAATGCAGCCCCTGTGATTATGAGAACCACTATTTAATTTGGCAAGGTTTGAGTTTGGCTCTCCAGAAAACCTTAACTGACCAAGGCTATCAAATCAGCTTCCCAAGGGAGCTGCACCAACTGACACCCAGCCAGCACCTGATTTTACCACCTTTTTTGCAGCAGTCATTAAGTGAAGCCATTGGGGGTGGGGGTTGCAGAAACTGGAAATTAACACTGGTTTCCTGGGGGGGGGGGGAATGTCATAAATCCCAGTCATGTGACCACAAGATATGGCAAATGGCCATAAACGTGGCTTAAAAAGCGATCCCATAACCGTGGGGAGAGGCAGATGTCATAACTTTGAAACTGGGTCATAAATAGCTTGGGGGGGGTGTCCGTTATAACTTAAAATTGTTGCTAAGCAACCGGCCCTGAGTCGAGGACTACCTGTGGATATCTTCACCCTCCTTCACATCCCAACCTTAAACCCTGAGCAGGATGGCTGCAGCTGAAAATCCTGCCCTGAGTTGGTGGATGTGCCTGAGTCTGAAAATGGTCGGGATGCAAATTACCATGCATGGAGAACAGCCCGGACATAATAATTCCTCGTCAGGGGTCCACAGGTCTTCACAGCCGCTGTGAAATACTTCTGGCCACTGCAGGAGATCAGAATAAAGAGACAGCCAAGGAAGAAAGCACAGATCAGTCACCGAGTATCACTTCAAGGGAAGAAGCGTTCTGTGATAGTCCAAAAACCACACCCTTTTCCGTGCATTTTATCAGATTCAGAATAATAACAGAGTAGCAGAGTTGGAAGGGACCTGGGAGGTCTTCTAGTCCAACCCCCTGCTTAAGCAGGAGACCCTATACCATATTCCGGACCAGTGGCTGTCCAGCATCTTCTTAAAAACCTCGAGTGATGGATACCCACAATTTCTGGAGCCAAGTGGTTAATTGTTCTCACTGTTAGGAAGTTTCTCCTTTTCTAGGTTGCTTCTCTCCTTGCTTCTTGTCTTGATAAATGCAACAGGGCTAGCTACCCTAATCTCACCCTGTAGATTCCCTCAACTCGTATTTTTAAAACCATCCAGATTGAGCTGGGCATCCTCCATTTACATAGTTTACCCTGTAAGTATAAGCAGCAGAGAGGAGTAGAGAATAATCACATCCTTCTGTCCCTGATATAACATAAAGGTCTTTTTTCGCAGCATGAGGACTAGAAGCTTCATCTTTGGTTTAGAGAAAGCTGTGTTTCTCAGCGGGCTGACTTCTTTGCCAGCTCCAGGTCTGCAATTGAGGGCCCTTCTTACAGTCAAGAAATGCAATACTCACCATCTCTCTAGAGTAGATCCCTTTTTCCTTTTTCCTCGGGGATACTCCAAAAAGCAAACAAACACCCCCGCAACGCTTTAGACAAAAAGGTTAAGGGCAAAAATGAGGATTCTTTTTAAGGTTTCTCCAAGACAGCAAAGAGACAAAGAAAAGAGTTCAGGACTGCAAGAAACAACCACAGGCAGTTCATTTTAAGCCGGAGGCGGCATTTGGGGCAGAAACCAGTTGAAAAGTCCCTTCCGAGCAAGATGGGCAGCATACAAATTTAAGAAATAAATAAGAAGTAAATAAGGCCTGCTCCCCCACCCCCTCACCCCCGATCCAAGGACAGAGCATTAAGAGCATCTCTTAGGGTGGGGGTGGGGGGGAAGGAGATGGAAGGGGAGAAAAGTGGGGCCTCTGACCAGCCAAGAGGCTTGCTGGGTTGGGCTGGCTGGGTGGTAGATACCTGGGGCCTAAATCTTGCCACGATTCCTACTTCATTTTTGCTGCTCCTTGTTGGGGGCCAAAGAGACCGTCCTTCTACCAGCATCTCCTGGAAGTAGCATCCTTCCATTTGCCTTTTGGACCCCGAGAGAAGTCATCCTTTGCAGAAACCTTCCCAAAGACTGAGGCTCATCATCCAGCTTGTATTTGCCAGTCTAAAAATCCACAATGGCTCCAGATGGGGTGCAATGGGGTGAATTCAGCCCTGTCTGTCATGCCCAGACTCTTGTGTATTCTTTCACAAAGCCTGGCTTGGGCTCCCTTCCTCGTGATCTAGCTGTGCTCCTGCTGGGCCTTGCCTTTATCGCTCTTCTTCCTCTCTGAAAGTTTGCAGAAAACCCCGAAGAGCATCCCAGCCACAGACAGAAATGCAATTTCCTGGACCCTGTTTGGCCAACAGGACCTGACCTTCACTCTCCCAACGTACTCACAGCCACAACATTTCCCAATTCTTCAACCACAAACATTCCAAATTTTGCAATCAGTCTCTGCCAGAAGCAAAGCTGTCCAGCTTCCTTAATTTTTCTACTTTCTGTCTTGGAACACATCCATCATTGATTCTACATGTTGAATATTTATTTATTTGTATCCTGCCTGTATTATTTTTACAACTAACTCCAGGCAGCAAACATGTCCAACGCACTTTCCTCATCCTATTTTCCTCACAACCACCACCTGTGAGGTGGGTTAGGCTGAGAATGACTGACCCAAAGGGCTTTCATGACGAAGGCAGAACTTAACATTCAGACTCCTTTTAATATGGATATAATTTTAAAATAGATATAGGCAATCCAGGTGTTATTTATCCTAGCAGGCTGCAGGGGAATAGAATTTATACAATTATTTTCACAAAAGGATACATTGCATAAACTGCAATCTCCCACCTTTTGAATTGGCCTGAAACAGCCACAATGCCACCAGTCACTAAAACTAAAGAGAGAGAGACAGAGAGAGAATTATTTTTTGTTTGTGATAATTCACAATTTCTATTTACAATGAACTTTTCGGATCCAAAATTAAGCAAACTGGGAACTTGTGTCAACTCCTGAGCCCGTGTGAAACGGCAGGTCTTTGCTGGCAACTGGAGAGGGACGTTGTGGATATACATGCTTAACACATACACTAACTTTGCTTTTAATCCTTTTGTAGTTCAAAAGAAACAGGTGTACAGGTAGTGCTTAACTTAAGACCACAAGGAGCCCAAATTTTCTGTTGCTAAGTCAGACAGTTGTTATAGAAATAGCACTTAGGCTTATATTCCACTTCACAGGGCTTTTACAGCCCTCTCCAAGGGGTTATATGAGTTTTGCCCCATTTTACGACCTTTCTTGCCAGCTGTTAAGTGAATCACTGCAGTTGTTAAGTTGGTAACATGGTTGCTAAGTGAATCTGGCTTCCCCGTTGATTTTGTTTGTCAGAAGGTCGCAAAAGATGGGTGGGACTCCAGCCCCCATCCTCCTCCTCCTCCTCCTCCTCCTCCTCCTCCTCCTCCTCCTCCTCCTCAGGGCCAAGTGCCTCCTGTCCCATGATGCTAAAGGATGGAGGGCAGCAATACTGCCCTGTGCTGCAACATTCAGTTGTAGGCATGGAAGGGGGGGGGGCCTTCCTGGGGATTCAAACTCCTGGAAGCATCAGGATCTGGACTGGGCTAGACTGGGGGTCCTTTCTGCCCCCTTTGCATGGTGTTAGTTCAGTGCAGGCACAGAAATGCAGGCAGCTGCTTTGCTTGGCTCCCCCCTTTGAAGGAGGAAGAAGCCAAAAGGGAGAAGTGAAAGCTGCCCCACCCTCCGCCTCCTCCAGCAGAGGTTCGACACGCACAGGTTGTTCTCCTGCAAAGATCTGGCCCAGTGCTTGGCGTGAGCGCCTGCCCACTTGCCTGGGCCAGCGGGGGTGTCCAGTTCACCGGCCAAGCCCCACAGAGGGCAGAATGATTCTGAAGATTTCAAGGAATGTTGAAATCTCTCCTTAAAAAATTGGGGGGAATATTTGGTGGATTCTGACCGAATATCCCACCGGCTGCAGTAACAAAGCGGCAGTAAATGCCCCCTGCGTGCCCCTTGGCTCACTTGGGCAAGTTACCTGCCTGTTAAATTAGCCAGCACCTTTCCGGTGTTAAGCCCTGAAGCTGGGCTGTGATGATGGGTAGAGGGCAGGGCAGGGGCCGGATTTTTGGATAGCAAACAGAAAAAGGTTTTCGGCCCCTCCTTTCCACCCCCCAAAGGGGCTTGGTCCCCTCCTTCCGCCCCTTGTGAGGCGAGTGCCCAGAAGAAGAGGAGCCAAGGGCCCCGTTTCTTCTTCCAAACTTCCTTCCCCTTATTTTCATGCTTCCACTTCCTCCCTCCTGGGCTCTTGCAACCGAAAGCCTTTCTCCCTTCAGGGCGGGCCAAGCCTTCAAGGGGGGGGGGAGATATTTCTTCCTCCCCCCGTTACAATGGGGGCCCAGGGCGACCCCCAAGAACGCTCTCCTGGCTCTGCAGGCCACCAAAGCCGATGGCCAAACAGCCCACGCAGCCCTGAAGCTCGCGCCAAAGACAACTGTGGCCGCACCTGGAGCCCTCCCCTCTCCCCCACCCGCAGAAAGGGGGACGGGCTGCATCTCTAAGCAAAGCCACCGGGACCCTCGTTTCGGCCGATCCTGCCGCCATCCAGGGGTGCCTCGACTCCAAATCCCATCTGCGCGGGGCTGCTGGCCAGGGATGATGGGATCCGGAGCCCAAGGCCTGGAGGAAGACGGGGGGGGGGTCCCTCTTTCCACTCACGCCCCTGTTCTAAATCCCCCCCCCCAACATTTACCCCACGGGAAAGCGGAGGTTGGGGGGGGGGAGGAAGAGAAAACTTCTGGAAACTCTGTAGCCAAATTTAGAGACTGTAGCCAAAGGAAGAGAAAAGCTGCGCCCCCCCCCCCCCCCCCCCCCCCCCCCCCCGCGAGACTCACTGAGGCCCGAGGCCAGCGCCTGCTCGTTCGCCCACATGGCCCACTCGATGCGCCCCATCGCGCCGCCGCCGCCGCCGCAACTCAGCCGGCAGCCGGGCAAGCAGGCGGGCAGGCAGGGCGGGCTACGTCCTTCCTGCTCCTCCTCTGGCGGCCCAGCCAGCAACGCCCCGGGGACTTTCCGCGCCCCGCCCGGAGGGTGGCCGGGCGCTGGGAAGGGGGTCCCGAGCCCGCAGTCTCCGCGGGAGGAGCTGGACCAAGAGGCGGCTGCAGGGGAAGCGCCCCTTCCTTCGGTCCTTGCGCGGAAAGCAGCAGCAGCTGCAGCAACGAGGCTTCGTTCCCGGGGAGCCCCGAAGACTGGAGGTTGCGCAAGGGCCGGGATTGGGCTCTAGCCACTCCAAATCCCATCTGCCTGTGGCTGATGGCCGGGGATCATGGGATCGGGAGCCCAAGGCCTGGAGGGAGACGGGGGAGGCGTCCCTCTTTCCACTCCCACTCCTCTTCTACATCCCCATGAATCCGGTCTGGGTCCTTTAGGGCAGGGGTCTCCAACCTACACGTGCCGGCTGGGGAATTCTGGGAGCTGAAGTCCACAGGTCTTCAAGTTGCCAAGGTGGGGCGCTTTAGTTAGGGTGCCCTCCTGCCATGCCAGCCTTCCCTCCCTTCCAGTGTCAGCTGCCTTTCCCCAGATGGGTCTTCCAGCAGATCCCTTGGGCCTCCCCTCTCCCTTCTGGGCGGGCTTTGCAGGTGGATTTGGGCAGGGAGAGAACGAAGGAACATTTCAGAGTTGCTTTCTGAAGAGTTCGAGCAACGGTTTCTTTTTCTAAATCCTACAACTTCTCCATCTCTCTTTTCTCTGATAACATTTGTGTTGCAGGTTAACTTTATGCAACATCTGTTCAAAAATGGTTAACACCCTCAAGCAGTTTTACTTTGGGTGGGTGGGAGACGGCATGTATTTCCAAAGTCTGAACATAAAAGGAGAAAGAATGGGCAGAGAACCCCCAAACTGTGACGCCCACAGCTGAGACAAGAGAGCCACGCAGAAGATCTCATTTATTTTAGAAACCTGTCTTTAATAATAAAACCATATGAAAGAAATTGAAGATTATTAATTTATATAAATAATTATGGGCCACAAGTCTCGAGGCACCGAATCAAAGAGCAGAGTATGAAACAGGTGCGGAGGACAGGAAAAGACCCTCAAAAATTATCCCAAAGGCGACTATCGGCCCAAACCTCCCCCCTCCAACAGGCTGGCTGTGGGGAGAGGAGTTGGTCTTGGCTCAGCTGCTGCTTCGAGGCATCCCGTCTTCTCCCAGGAGATGGCAGCTCCCATCGTCCACCACTGATGGTCCTGGGCCGGGCTGAAGCAAGAGAAAAAACAAAAGGGGAAGAAGGGACACAACCAGCAGGGAACATAAAACGACAGGGGAAACAATGCTATAACTGTCAGTTGCCTTTTATCACTTGATATATTGATAATATTTAACAACTGTTATCTACCTGAACAGTGACCGAAGCAGTGTAAAAAGCATTCCAAAGGAATACCCAAACACTTTCTATAAGCTTTCCTTTTTTTAATATCCACCTGTATTTAAATGGTCAGATCTGGGGGGAGGGGAGGCAGGGGGCTGATCATTAGGCTAAAAAATAACATCTCCCAAATGCTGCGGTGGTCAGACAGCAGAGTGACCCACATGGACAATGGGGGGGGGGTTTAACACACCTGGAATTAATTTTTAAAGAAACAAAACAGGAGCCTAACCCCATACCTCTGCCCCACTTCAGCCTATGGGCTCCAAGTGTTTTAAGTGTGGGCAAATATTTGTTTTTCCTTGCAGAACCAATAAGCACAAAAAGGGGCAGGAATGTTGCTCTGGATGAAAACTTAGCACCAGCATTTGGAGGGAAACTGGCTTCTCTCGTCTTTCTTGCCCAGAAGGAAGTTAAGCATCACTGAATGAGGCCTCCAGAGACACTTCAGCCCAATAAAAGAGAATATTTGTAGCTCTGGATTGAAATGAGGGGTCCCTGGTGCTCTCTGAGCTTGGTGGTTTTCTGCCAGACTTACCCTGACCCAAACTAGGTAGCATTATCCGTGCTGCAAGGAGTATTGATAGCAAACTCCACTCATAGCAGCACTGATGATTTTATCTAGTTCGGTAATGAAACGTCTGCAAGAAAACAGCCAAGTTCAGAGAACACAAGGACCCCTCAAACTTCATCCCAAGGTTCAATAAAGATCCAACGAAATGAGAATCTGTAAGACTGGGAAAGGAAGTCAGTATTCGGATGGACAGAGCCCCCTGTCCGCCTGCTTTTCCCCCCCAACACTTGGCAAGGAGGGTGCCCTCGTGTTTGATGCCCCGTGGCAGCTACCGGGCCAGGCCCCTACCTTGGTGATCAGCAGGTACTGGATGGCTCCTGGGATAGGATCCCGAACCACCTCCGCCAGCAGCTCCTCCGAGGGACTCACTGCCTTCACGGGGAGACCTTTAAGAAACCTAAGAGGAGAGGATGAAGGGAAAATCCTTGGGTTAAAATTTGTGGCCATCCCGACCTCCGTAAGGGAAACATTAATTCCTGTTAATGGTTTTTATTATTATTATTAGTGTTATTGCAAGTCGGACAGTGAGATGGGCAACATATCAATCTAATAATAAATAAATGATTACAGAAAAAAGAGATGGGGTGGAAGGAGCCAAAACCCACGCAGCAAAATCTGAAGAACATTTTCCTAAAGAAAACAGTGTTTGGATATTTGCAAATGGTTTCAAAGGAGCCAAAACCTCAACATCTATTTTCTAACAGAATCCGTCCTTTTGGGAGTCTCCAACAAGCTTTGACAATTGCTGCCTCTGGGTAGTTATGGAGACTCCTAATTACCAAAAATAAATATGTCGCCACTTTTGAGTTTCCCCTATGATTTTTCAGCACACGTCACTTAGATTATTGTTTTAACAGAAAAGTGGCTATGGGATTAACAAAGTATATATATTGCACTAGTACCACAGATTTCATATTTTTTGCATAGAACAGTTTCCTGCCAGGAGCATTTGGGGTGGCTCTCCTGAGGAAGGAATCTCTTCAAATATCAAAAAATAAATTGTTTAAAGCATAAAAAAAGAGGGATTGAAGACCACTTGCGTTATTTTTTAAAAGCAATTTGGGGACTGTTTCAGTGGGCGCAGGGGGTCTTACTCTGACTTCCCAAATAAGCAGCAAAGCTGGGCTCACTCACTGGTCTCCATTACTCTTGGGGGGGAAGCTACGTTGGACCACACCCACAAATTCCTCCAGGGTCTCATCCAGCAGGAAAAGGACGGCGTTGGGACCGGCATCGAATGTGTAGGCCACCTGTCGGCAAGCACAAGGTCAGAAAAAGATAAAAGATGGAATAATTTTTTTCTCCAACCGCAATCTGTGTGTGTGTGTGTGTGTGTGTGTGTATATATGTTTTCGTAGATTTTCATGGGTAGAGGTTTGCAAGTTTTGGTATATTCGGGTCTTTTCCCGTGTAAGATTGAGAGAATCTTGGCGACGTTTCGATGAGGTCTCACTCGTCATCTTCAGGCTGGTGTCCTCGGCTTCGTGCTTGCTTTCCTCACACAAGCACGAAGCCGAGGACACCAGCCTGAAGATGACGAGTGAGACCTCATCGAAACGTCGCCAAGATTCTCTCAATCTTACATGGGAAAAGACCCGAATACACCAAAACTTGCATATATGTATGTATGTATGTATGTATGTATGTATGTATGTATGTATGTATTTATGTATGTATATTACACATGGACATTAGACAGTGGTGTCTAACGTCCATGTGTATTTATCCCTGCTGTACAGCTATAGTATTATTATTTATCCTTATTATTGTTTTCTTTACTTTTTGATGTTTTGCATGTACACTGAGACCTTCTGTACCGGAGGCAAATTCCTTTGTGTCCAATCACACTTGGCCAAATAAAGTATCTGATTCGATTTGATTCGATCCTTTGACCAGCTGGCCAAAGACGAGAATCGCCAGCCTGCCCCAAGGGGTCCCCTCACCCCATCCTGGCACTGCAGCTCCCCACGTACTTTGGTTTCCCCGTGGTGGGCGTTAAAGCGGTGGACCAGGGCTATCACTTGCTTGGAGGTGTCGTTGAGGTAGAAGATGGGCGGGAAGGTGTCCAAGCAGGTGGCGTGGAACTGGTTGCTGTCCTTCATGGTGAGCTGACCGAAGGCCTCAAAATCCCTCTGCCGGATGTGGTGGGCCATCTGGGCCATGCGCTCCGGGACCACAGCCTTGGCACGGTGCTGGAAGAGGAGAACAAGGCTTCCAAGAGGCTGGACTGCCATTTGTCAGAAATGGGATAGGGTCTCCTGCTTGGGTGGGGGGTTGGACTAGATGACCTACAAGGTCCCTTCCAACTCGGTTCATCTGTCAATTAAACAACTGTGGGGGCTTAAGGGAGCTCAACATTATCTATGTAATGGGGAAGGAGAGACCTCAGGAGAAGCATCGGGGGTCAGTGGGTCTCCTGGCGATCAGCACATCCCTGGACTCAGTTTGGAAGGGGAGACGCCAAGATTCCCTCTAAATGGAGCCCAGGGAAGTGAAGGACAGCCTTCATCTCAGTCCTCTTCCAGGGCTGACCAAACCTTCTTCTCTAAAGGTAGTCCTCGACTTATGACCACCATTCAGACTACAGGCAGTTAAGTGAGACACAGCCGAGGTAATAAGGACAGGTCATAAATCAATTTTTTCCAGTGCCGTAACTTTAAACAGTCACTACACAAATGGCTGTAAGCCAAGGACCACCTGTATATTCAAGCTGGTCAGTTGCAACTGTCCCAAACAAAGCAACTGGATGAGGTGGACTTGAGGTGTGTCCGATTCTGGACACCCGTGAAGTGCCCAGAGGTTTGGGCTTCCCTTCATTTCCCCTCTGGATTCATCTGAACAGCAGAGAGAAACCGCTTCTGATGGGGTGGAAGGGAAACAGCAATCTGGGAAAGGCTCCAAGAGGGACGTGGGTCGGGGGGGTGGGGGGGATATGTGACCGGGCAGCTGCGTCTCCTACCTTCAACAGGAGGCTGGTCTTTACACTGGTCTGCATTCCAGCCGTGCTGCCCACCACCTTCTTCTCTGCACTCACCTGCCGTGGAGGAAGGAGGAAGAGGAGCCATGCGGGTGATGCAGGAAGCACCAGCCGCTCGGTCCTGCAGAAGGGGCCTGCTGCCTCCTCCAACTCCCTAAGCAACTGGGCCAGCCCAACCACTAGGCAGCTACAGTTTCCGTAGCAGGGACCCCAGACTCACCACCAGGATCAAGACCCGCAGCTCCGGCCAGTGCGTCTCTGGCACCACCTGTTGGGCCACGCTGTCTTTGCCGTCGGCATCGTCCCCCATCATCCACTGCACGAAGCCCCCGAACATACTTCGGCAGGCACTCCCAGAGCCCTGGCGAGCAATTTCAGAAAGGTCCCCCTCCACGCCATAGAGCCGGGCCAGGGTGTAGACTGGAAGGGAAGCGAGAGGGCAGCCAGTCCCACAGCAGAACTTCCCCCGGGGCCGTGCCCTTAGGAGGTTAGGGGACAGAACTCCCCAAACAAAAGGTTCCCGGGCTGTGGCATATGGGAGATGGAGTCCAGCCCAGATTAGAACTGGCTGTGGCAGTCCTTGAGAAAGGGATCAGCAGGCTGGCGTGATCCACAGAGCACACCGTGCAGTACGGAGAAGAGCCCAAGGATGGCTTGGTGGAAGCACCTTGGAGGGGGCTAGAGGGGGTCTCCTGGAAGCAGGAATGGCTGGCTGCACTTGAATTGGCAACCCCAGCCCAGATGCCACGAAACCACCACTTCTGATCTCAAATTCCCCCACCCGCTTTCTGTCTGTGGCCGTTACTCCTTCCCAGCCACAAGGAGGCAAATCACGAAGCCAGAAATCTCGAAGACCTCCAGTCTGACCCCAAAGGCCCCACTGGGACCAGCTTCACTTACCCAGGCAAGCATAGCCAGCAGCAGAAGAGGCCAAGCCCGCCGCAGTGGGGAAATTGTTCTCCGAGGCTAGGTGGACTTTGTAGCTCAGGGGAGGGGGGTCCCCCTCGTCACCCCCACTTCTCTCGCCGCGGCGCTTCCTAGCCAGACGACGGACTGAGGGAGAGAAGGGAGCTGAGATTGCTTGGGGGAAAGAGGCAGAAACAGACAGCCCTGCAGAGTCGATTTGGGTTTGTGCTAAAGTCTGCAATCGACTGGGGAATTTCTCACAAACATGGTTAAACATTTCCTCTCTGCTGTGACTCACCCAGCAACTATTATCCTGGATCTCTCCCTCCTCTATGGAGGGTGGAGTTCTTGAATTGGTCAAATACCATAATAAAGTTTGCTACTGTTACTACAGAGAGAGAGGCGTTTTTTAAAAAACTATTATTATTCATAATAAAAGCATCAGGTTACGCAGCGTCACTCTCTGCCATCCATAGCAAGGCAGCTCCAGGCTACCTGGCCATCCATCCTTGGGTTGAGAAAGGAAACATGCCCTGCTCGCTTGTGCTCAGTCCTTCAAAACAAAGAGTCAGAAACGCCATGAATTCAGAAGCCCAGCCGGGCGGCCCTGCGCTTACTTTCCCGCAGGCAAGACTGGAGACGGGGGTGTTCGATATCGGCCGGCTCCCCGTTCAGCCAGAGGCGGTCCTCCGTGAAGTCCCGGCTGAGGGCGGCTGTGGTGGTCGTTTTCAGCTGGAAAAGAACAGAAGCCACGGTGGGTCACAACTATAGCCTGGAGCAACTGTGAGGAAGCCTACGAAGCCCCTGGGCCTTACTTCCATGAATCAACCCTCACTGGGTTATCCCCTTAAGCCCCTGGCTCTCTTCTAGTGGCTCACTAGTGAGGGGATCTGTCGCCTGCTTCCAAACATTAAATAAAGTGGCAATCGCAACAATAGGGCAGCCAAGTGGGCAGCTCACAGAAATGAACACGGAACGAGAGCAGAAGCAGCCGTAACCATATTTTCAGTTAAAATTGCCGCTTTTAAGGAGGTTTTCAGTTGTCCTAAGGCCACAGAGCTTCCTTCAACCACACTCGGTCTTCAGGCAGAAGTCGGTCACCCCAAACAAAACGGGTCTCTCGTGAGAGTCTGGGACCAACCTGATCTTGGTGCAGGGTGACGCTGAGGGATGAATTAATAGGCAGGATCAGCTTTTCGTCACGTTTTCCCCCTGGATGAGGAAAGAAGGACACAGCTTGAACTGGGGACAAACTGAACATTGGAGGGCAACTCATTGAATCTGCCATGGATGGAGAACCTCATAAATCAGGAGACTGACAGAGCTGCTCCAACCTGTTTTCTCGGTTGCCAGCAAGCTTGCCTTTAATTACAGCTTGCAGACAGGCCTATTATTTGTGAAGGATCTTCCTCCTTCTCCTGATCTATTGATCTGGCTGCCAGAGCGAGTTTACCGTGGAAAACCAAATGTTCCACATATTGCTTTAGAGTCTACAGGTTCATTCAACAAACAAATACTTAGTGGATCTGCTTCTCAATAAAAATGAAGAGAACTGCAACCCGGCTCATTTCAACCGGGCTCACATCTATCTCCCTCTAGTCAATTCATCCTGTGCACTCAGAGGCACCTAAGTTTCTTTTCTAGGGAAGTATAGAAGTTTGCAGCTTAGGACACCAGTTTCTCCCTGTTTTTGTTTGGCACCCGTGTTTGTAAGAGGAATTGCCCCCCTCTAATTGCCCCTTCTGCAAGAAGGCTCGTTTTATTTGGGGGGGGGGAATAAAGTTGTCCCATCATCCATTCCCACTCCTTGCTCCTCCTGAGCCCTTGAGATTCTCTCAGCGCCCCTCTTCCCTGCAGGGAAGGGCTCTTCATCGGACCCAGAGCAAAAGCCCCTTGGAGCCCCCCCCCCATATCATCTCCCCTCCCCCCGCTGCGTTTCCACCTCCTGATGCAACCTGCAGCTCTGACTGGGGATCTCCTGGTGGTCTCCCATCCAGGCCGCCTTAACCGCCACCAGCCCCCCTGGGGGGGGAAAAGGCTCCTTCGGGGGCTCAGCTACTCACAGTACTTGACCACCGCGATGTTGACCGGCGCCGTGCAGGTGACCAGAGCCGGCCGCTTCTCTCCGGCCACGGGCGGACTCATGGTGCGGCTGCCGCTGCTCCCCTCCTCAGCAGGACCGCGGCCCGGCCCGCCCAGCCCTCGCGCTCCCGTCCCAGTCCGCCCAGTCCGCCCTTACTGGGAGCGCAGCCCGCATCCCCTCCCCCTCCCCCACACGTGTCTCCGCCGATGGAAGCCATACGCCCCTCTCCCGCCATTGGCTCGCGCCGCTCCAGCTGGGCCCGCGCCGCCCAATCGGCGGGCTCCCCGCCTCCTCCGGCCGCCGCTCTCAGCCAATCGGAGCGCGTCGGACGATGGGGCCGCCGGCTCGCCTCATTTGCAGGCCGGAACCTTCGGGGCTCCCTGGAAGCGGGATGGGTTTCCCACTCGGGCGGCTTCCCGCGTGGCACCGGCGCTGTCGCACGAGGGGCAGAGCCCCCCTCCCCACGCGCGCATGCTCGGTTGCGTTCGCCCCGGCAGGGCTCTTTTCTGCAGCCGCGTCTTCGCTTGCAAGGACGCGGCTTTTCCCCCCCCCCCTTTTCCCTTCTTCTTCCCCGCTGCAGGCTGGGCGGGGGTGGGGCGTGCAAGGCTGGGGGGCTGCGGGGGGAGGGGGGAACATGTGGCTGGGGGAGAGGCGCAGCTGGAGGGAGCCTCGCAGGGCGACGCGGAGAGCCGCCTTTGGTCCTTTCCAGCCCCGGGGACGGCTGGCTGCGTGCGAGGCTGGAAGCTCCGATGCGGGGCGGCAGCCGGTGGACCTCCAAGTCCGCTCCAGCCTCCCTCCGCCTCCCTCCGCCTTTTCCCCCAACTGGGCTTCCTGGGGCTTTTTTCCCCCTTTTCATTTAATGACTTTAATAATTATTTTAACTTTTGTGTACAAATGTTTTTATTTTGGCTGTTCACCGCCCTGAGTCCGAAAGGAGAAGGGCGGTATACACATCTAATAAAAGATAAAGATAAAGAAAAGGTTCCTGCAGCTTCCTGGGTTGGGAGCCAAACGTCCCAAGAAATCCGGAGGCCTTTCGGGGAAAAAGCCCCCCGGGACAAGCCTGGCCTGGGTGGCCGAGACTCCCCAGAGGCGTTGGGCGTTTTGGAGCCTCCCTGCCTGCCTTCCTTCCGCGGGGCTCTTCCCCAGGGCAGCCTGGGCAGCCTTTCCCGCGTGGGCCAGCGGGCAACTCAGAAGCCCAGGCGGCCGAGTGCTTCCCTCCACGGGGCTCCCTTCCCCCCCACCAGGGCCGGATTTATCCTATAGGCTAACTAGGCTTCAGCCTAGGGCCTCAAGATCAAGAGGGGCCTACATTCAAATTGTTAGCAACATTAAAATTACACTTTCACTATAGGTGAAAGGGCCTCATAAGTGGAATAGCCTAGGGCCTCTTTTCATCTAAATCCGGCCATGCCCCCCACACAGGTGAGGCACCAACCTGCGGAGCCACCTGTTGAAAAACAAGGACCTCGCGTGTGTGGGGGGGGGGGACTCCACCTGCTCGGCATCCCCGGCGCGAGCGGCACCCAGGCGGGACAAGGCTCGGTTCCACGTCTCTAGATAGAAAGAGGCGGCCTATTTCTGCCTTGCTTGGCCCCCCGGGGCCGCGGCGACTTCCTCAGCCGGAGGCGGTCAAGGCTATTTCTGGGGGCTGGCATTTAAGGGGGAGGGCTGCTTTTCCATTTGTCATGGGAAGAAGAAACTTGAGCTGGAAAGATCTCGGCACCCATAACTTAAGCCAACCCTCCTCCTCGCCCGTTTCAAAGCTACGCTCCGTGTACCTTGGTCCTAACTCAGACTCCGTAAATTAAGGTCATTGCACTTTCCTTAGACGGGGACATGTTCCCCACTCCCGGATAATATCGGGGCCTGCCCTTGTTATCTTGTCCCGGAGAGCAGATCCTCCATTTCACCTTCAACCAGGGAATAGCAGGAAGATTTTAGAGAAGAATAATCTCCAAAGTTCTATATTAATGTGGCCAAGAGCATCCATTTACACCAGAACCCAAGCAAGAGTCACTTGCTTTGAGTTGGGCGGCTATAGAAATTCAATAAATTAAAGGATAAAATAAGAAAGCAATCTTATGTTATTTGATCTTATAATTGTGAATGGAAATGGGATTGTATCTATATTTTCATCAATCAACAGTTGGTTTGTACAGCATACTTCCCTTATTTGCTCTAAGTACCATTTGTACTATAAAGGAGTGTTGGAAGACCTAAAGAACCAGACGGGAAAAATCATCATGCAGAAAATCTGCGTGTTCACTAAGAGTTGACAATGACTTGATGGTGTGCGATCCAACCAAAAAGACTGAATTTATACATCAGACCAAACCTGATCAAAACAAAACCACCCAACGATTTAATAAACTTCACATTACAATACAGTATGTGAATGAAGCTGCTAGTTTGAGTATGCAAGAAAACCAAGTTCTCAGAGCACCCAGCCCGCCTCATTTCAACCCTAAGCTATGAAACATTCTCTATTTAAGTAGATGAATCCTAGTGGTTGGGCAGAGTTAAAATTTGAACCCAGGACTTTCTACAACCGTAGCTGCCTTTGCCCCAGTAAGGCACACAGACTTTGAAAAGAGAGCTGAGCAGAAATCACTCCAAATGCAAACAAACAAGCTTTTTTGACTGTGACTGCTTGATCTGAGAAGAGGGAGTGAGCCAGTTTTCTTCCTAGCCAGCTTTCGTGGACCAAGAAGGAAGGAAAACAAGAGCGCAGATGGTGCCTTCTGTGATTCCTGCTTTAGGCCGCCTAAGCAGAATGGAAAAACGGACTCATTCATCTGATCCTCACATTCCCTTCTCCGCTGGCATATCGGCAGGTGGGGGTCTCAAGTCCCCACCTTTGCCCTGCTGCTATATTTACCAGCACTTTCCATCTGCTGCAAGTACGAGGGAAAAACATTTGGCTTATTTTAGAAGCAGCAACATACTTTCCTGCTCTGGCCCTCCTCACGACAGGTGGAAGAGCTGTTTTTAGAAGTTTTGCAGCTCAAAATAGTGCGGAGTTTACAATGCAGCTTGCTTTAGGCATCTCAGAGTCCTATTTATGCTCTCTGACCACGGGGAAGGCTATAAATATACCTGTTGCTTCCCCGCTCTGCCAGGCTGACCTCACTGCTGCCTACAAGTTGTACAAATATCCCCCACCTTGGTAGACCCTTTGATAGCAAGAGAAGCATGGAAACGCTCCAGATGTTCTCCTGGGCAAAAAATGGGGGAAATGGGTGGGTGAAAAAAGCTGATTGCACTGACAAGCTATTCCATGAGGAAAAGCAGCCAGGCAGAATTTTGGGGCCCATTTGGCTTTGAAATAGTCAATTGAGGGTACCATCAAAAAACTTGATTAACATGACCTTTCATTTATCATTCAATATTGCTGGTAAGATCTTTTTTAGAAATGTGTCCCTCTTGTCACATTAAAAATGATAATCTGGGGATCACCTTGGAGGGGGAGGCTCTGGGGATCTGTGTTGTGCCCTTCACTCCTGTACCAGAGAAATCACACGCTGGGACACGTCTGAACGCAAATTCCTTCCAGGAACTTAAGAACTGACACCAAGCGTGGAGTCCAGAAGAAAATGAAAGGAGGGAAGACAAGCTGCCAAATGTCACCTGCTTAATTTTATTTTTGCTCCGTGGGTTACACAGGTATGTGCTAGAGGCAGAAAGATCACAGCACATATCCAAAAATAATCAGCCAGTTGAAATTTGGATGCTCTGGGAAGCAGGGCATATATGCCTGCAGGCAGACAGTGGCAGGCAGAAATGAATAAAAGAAATACTCCATACAACCAGATCCTTCCAAGAAATTCAGGGCGGAAAAAACAAACTTCATCTAAGAAGACCAGCAAATATCTACATGTAGTTTAGTCAACCTAGAGTCCTAGATCTTCCTAGATCTAACTGCTCCAAACTTCCTACTCTGCTAGCCACACTTTTGCATTCAATTAAAACCCCAATTCAACATGTTAACAGATCTATTTCAAAGTGTTCCTGAGATTTGGTGTTAAAGCTCATCCAGTCTCCTTTTTCTTAGCTTAACTAAGAAAAAGGGGCAAAGAGGGAAGGATTGCTGGAGAATCAGAAGCCCCTATCTTGTCATTCCATGTAGACCTCCCATCCACTCCAGCAAAGGATGGGGGAGATTTATCAGCATCCAGAAAAGCCATAACAACTCAGGCCAGAAGTGGGAGATGAGCAGCTTTTAATGTCAAGACTAGCAGATGGAAGCAGACAATGCTTTGGTGTTTCTGAGCGCCTCTCCAGCATGGGGCCAAAGAGGAAGCCAACTGGAGAACACCATCTCTGGTGCTCAAGTGATTAAACCATCCTGGATCCCAGAAGATGCCGTCGCACCAAGACATGCTGTTTGGGTAGATTTACAGGAGAGCAATTCACGGAAGGAATTTAAAATCATCTGAGGACACAATTCCTTTTACTGCTTTATTTGGAGTGAAGGTACGCACAGTCAGATAACCGATTCCTGCTGCAGGATGCAACCAGCCTCCAGATTGCAGGTCTTCGCTCATCCAAAGCCTCTCCTGCTGAGGAACAGCCATGTTCTCTCTGCCAGCCTCAGGTGGCTATGGCACAGGAGGCGGCCTCCTTGTGCCGCAAAAGCAGTGACATCCGGGAGAAGGTCTTTAAGCAGGCGCAGCACTGGTACCTCTTGATCTCCGAGTGCGTCTGCAGGTGGGCACGGAGGTTGGAGCGGTCGGCAAACGCTCGGTTGCAGTGGGAGCAGGAATAGGGCTTTTCACCTGGGAAGGAAGGCAGACAGGTGAGCCCAGTTGGGGCACACAGGGACAGGGACTGGGTGCCAACTGGCCCAAAGAAAACCTTAAGTTCATTTAATGAGCACCACAAAAAATGGTGACCTGTTTTATGACCTACAGCTGTGATGGGCAGGGTCCATTACAGTTGTAAGTTGAGAACTACTTGTAGATGCACTGAATGCTACAAAGACCAGAAAGGTTGTGCTACAAAAAGAGGCCCACATACCTAATTACAGGTATGTTACATACCCTATGCTGAAAACGGGGGAACACTCCATAAAACAGGGCTACACAATAAAAAATCCTTGCTGATAAGAGAAGCCAGACATTTGTGCCTTATCTAGAAATCTGTAATTTAGCCAGTGATTGTGATATAGCTATTTTGGTCACAAGGACTATTCAATTTAAACAACAACAACAACAACAAAGGTAAAAGCATAACCCAGATGTTCACTCTCACTACATATCAAGTTTAGAATTTCTTTTTAAAACCAGGATTTAAACATGGTTCATGCATATTTAGCAGAACTGGTGATTTTCTGAGTAGACGCCCACTGCCCTGCAGGGAAGGGCAAAGGATCCACACTCAGAGATTGAACAGGAGAAGCAGAATTGGCCAGGGACCCATTATAAAAATCTCTGGATGAACTTGGGTGCACCAAAGCTGCCTCTGCTCTGCCGGACTGCTGTAACCCAGCAAAGAGAACCACCCTTGATGACGTCCTGGGTCCCTAGAAGACAACTGTGCTGCATATACAACCTTCTGTACGCATGTTTGCACTCCAGGCTGGGTTGCATTGCAGCAGCGTGCAAGGCCCTCTCCCCTTGTTTCCTGTGATATTTCCCCCTCACCTGTGTGTGTCCGGATGTGGCCCTGTAGCAACCAAGGCCGGGAAAAGGCTTTGCTACAAATCTTGCACACACAAGGTAGTGTGTGAGTCCGGATGTGCATCTTGAGGGCCCCCAGGCTGGTGTACCCCTTGTTGCAGTATTTGCAGCTGAAGAACCTGGTTGTTGCTGCAGCTTGCGGCTTGCAGTGCTGCTGCCGGTGCCGGGCCAGGCCGGAAAAAGTGCTATAGGGCTTGTGGCAATCTAGGCATGTGAACCTCTCCAGGGAGTCAGTCCTCACACCAGGCTCGTCTGGCAGCTGCTGTCCTTCTGCCTCCACCAGGCGACCTAGACCAGGGCATGTCCTCCAGGGGAGCAGGCCGAAGGCTGGCGGGAGATTGAGGTTGTTGGGGTTATCCCGAAGAGGGGTGGCTGAGCCCCGGCTGCCTCCAGCCCTCTCCCCACTTTGGGGGTTCAAGGCGAGCTGCTCTTTGGCCTCCTGGCTCTGCAGAAGAGTGGGGGAGAGGCTTGCAGGAGCAAAGCTGTGGCTCCTCAGAGGGCTGGCCTCACGGGGTGTGGATGGGCAGGGTGTAGCCTCCTGGATAGAAAAGGAACATGTCATCCAGGTGTGACTTGGCCTGTTGCATTCTGCGGATGGAAACAACACAAAAGAAAGTTGACCAAAGTGGCATTCCTGCCTTCCCTTCTAGATGCCTATGGAGATTCTTAGGGCATCCAGGTCCTGGTTGTCCCAAAGGTGCTTTTTCTAGAGGCAACTGGACTTTCTGGTAAGTTGCCTCTTGAAAAAGCACCTTTGGAACTTCCCTTCTAGACCCCTCCAGACACTTTTCCTTAACCTTCTGCACAAAAACTTGCAAATGGAAACTTGCTCAGCCTGCAAATGTGGAGTAAATTTGGCTCCTGCGATTTCAGAGGCACGTCCATCTGGCTTTCTCAGCAGCGTCTGAAAGCAGTGTAATGTCCCCAGACAGAATATAGCTCTCCTTCTAAGTACCAGTTCCCAGTCAGGTCTCATCCTGCTTAAGCCTTAGCCAAGGTCAACTGCTGCCCATCCTAACATCTGCCCGGGGTGCTGAGCATGAGTTAGGAGACCTTTGTTAAGCACCTTAAACTTTACTCCTAGGAAAAATGTTTCTGCTTCTTTTATTCTAAGCAAGCCGTTTCCTAGCTTAATTTATCGCCGCCTGTCCTGCACACATGGCTTTGTTCCTAAGAAGGGAAGACAAAGGCTGCAGTCCCCACAGCCTTAGCCAAGGGTGGTGCTTTTACTCTGAAAACCCATTTCCAGGGCTCTCCCCTTGGAACAGACGCCTCTCTTCGTGGCTTCTTCAGATGAACATCTTTGCAGGCAGGTGAAAAAACAGAGTAATAAATTCACCATGTGAAACATGTTGGCATGAAGGTCAAAGAGTTGCCTTTTTTAAAAAAAGCCAAGATCCAAAATGTGCACCGAGGCCACCCCCAGCTTAAGCATTGCTTGGATGTGCCAGGGTGGTATTGCTTGGAAGAATATTCTCAAGTCCCTCTTGTGACTGTTATAAATCAAACACCAAAGAGAAAGCACTTGGAATATTTTAAATATCTCCAGGCCACCCCACCACACCCCCTCTCTGCTACATTGGAAAATAATCTACATTCCAGATGAATTTGCATTCTTTTCCAGGGTTTGAAAAAGGGCAAATGCCACCCAACCTGCCCTCTTGGAAACATTTACATTCAAAAACACTGAGGGGGCAGAGGCCATGTGGGTGGGGTGGGTCTTCACCAATGTAGGGGTTACAGCAGGGGTCTGCAACCTTAAACACTCAAAGAGCCATTTGGACCCGTTTTCCCACAGAAAAGAAAACACCAGGAGCCACAAAACTTTGGTGGGTGTGGCCAACTCGACATCACTCACTTTCACCAGTCACATGACCCCCCTAGCCACGCCTACCCAGCTGGTCATTAGGGCAGAGAACCGATTGTTAAAAAACAACCGGAACCACAAAATCCTTTTGACATCTCTTTCTCCCACCCTCCCTCCCCCTCCCTCTCTCTACCCCCATCTCTGTATCTCTCTGTCTCTGCCCCGGCCGCTTCTCCATCCCCTGCCGTCGCCCTTACCTTCTCAGGCCAGGTGAGGAGTGACTGGGAGGGTGAGAGGTGGGGCCAGCCAGTGGTGGGATCATCCAACAGAGAGCCACAGCAGAGGGCCCAAAGAGCCGCATGCAGGTTGCAGAAACCTGGGTTACAGGATGGCTGGCCAGCCCTTCCGATGGGCAGCCCACAGGAGCTCAAGCCATCTTCCATGCATGTAGCCCAACAAGCAGAGATCAAACCTAGCCTTTCTTCGACTAAACCACTAGTAACCTCAGAGCACCTCGCCCTCCTTCTCCTCGGAAACTGCCAACTCTTTGTCAATCAAGAATCCCCTAACTGTGCGCCACATTTTAAAAAATGCCTGATTTTTCTGTTCTGCTTCATTGAGTCTTCCAAAATTCCTCTGCTGCCGAGTTAAAACAGCACTCCATACTGGTATCTTTGAGTCAGCAGAAATTTACAACAGGAAAACAATTTTGTTTCTTTGCAGGCAGACACCAATTTTAATACACACACACAGGTAGAATTAAGAATACAAATAAGGTGCATTGCATGCCTAAATCCAACAGAAAAGCAGAAAAAGGTCATTCTAGCGATTGGCGTCTGAGTGGGGCTGGAACGAGAGTTTAAGCCCCCCAACGACAATTGCAACGGAACAAACCTAGAAAGACTCCCAAAACCTCCTCAGGTGCCACAGCCTGCATCAGCCGTCCTGGCCCGGTGGGCTGGGAAACAAGGCAGGCGCTGTTATTTTGGAGGCTGCCTCTGAGCATGTGCAGAGATGAGCTAGATGTGGAAGAATTGCCACCCCGTTCAAGCCAGGTTAGGGCCCCGAACCTTCTTCCTTTACCGACTTAATTTGTCTCCCTTTTGGTTTGAGAGGGGAAACAGCCTCGGTTGGTGAAGTTCCCCGAACGTAATTGGGACCTTTGGATCCGCTGCTTGGAAGCCGAGTTCGGGCAGATGCCGGCGGCTTCCCTCCTTCGCCGCAGCATCCCTCTCGCCCGCCCCCGCCGGTCCTCTCACGGAGACCTTCCACCTGCGCTCGCTTCTCCTCCGAGAAACTCCCGCCTGGGAGGAGCTGCGGCGCCGGGAACAACTCCGGGGAAGCCTCCCCGCCCCGAGCGCGCAGCCGGCAGAGCCCCGGGACGGGAACCCTCCGACGCGGCAGCAGAAGCGCCGCAGGTGCCCGAAGGGCTGGGGGGAGCCTCGCTTGGCCAGAAGCCCGGGCTCTTCTGCGGGGCGAGCAACAGGGGCCCCGTCGGCGCTCACCGTGGCGGCTGGACTCCAGCTGGCCGTAGTTGGGGACGCGGCTGCTGCGGGGCTTCTTGACCAGGAAGGAGCGCGGCATGGCGGGCGGTGGGTCTGCCGGCCGGGCAGGTGGCATAAAGCCGCGGCCTCATTAGCATGGTCCCACCGCCAGCCAACCGCCGCCCGAGGGCCGTCCGGGGCCTCCGCCGCGCCGCCCCTTCCCCGGCAGGTGCAAAGGCCGGGCTGGGGGGGAGCCCCTCCCCAGCAGGGCCAGGCCGGTCTCGGGTCCCGGCCTTTGGGCGGAGAGAGCCGGACCCCTCGTCCTCCTAAACCCCCCCCCCCACTTTTGCGCAAAGGGAGGGAGGCGCAGGAGGGGAGGGGGTGGGCGTCGGGCAGAGACTTCTGCAGCATCCCAGACAGAGCGAGGACCGAAGAGGCGAAGTTTTGCACGGCTGCTGCATGGAGAGAAGGCCGAGGGTCTGGGGGATACGTTCCAAGCAGCCCACACAGCATCCAGCGCTCAGGATGGACGGGCGCCTGAAAAACTGGAGTCGGCCTCCCATCTTTGGCACTGATTTGTATCAACTAAGGGAACACACTGGACGCCAGGACTGCGGTAAACTCTGGGGGCTGAGGGCCCTTGAATCTGGGCTAACCTTCCACCTTCATATCCTGCAAAAAAAACTTTTTCCTAAAAAAAAAAACAAAAAAAAAACTTGCAATCTGCTCCATCAACTTCCAGGGATTCAGAACTCCTTGGACTGGCATTGGAAGCAGGGTAGGGTGGGTGGCTCGAAGTTGCCACGGCTGAGATCCGAGAAGGGCAGGGTGGGGTTTGCAGCAGGAGCCCATCCCACCAGCTCCCTCACCTGGCCACCAAATTCCTCTTCTTCTTGGAGAACCAGCCCAGCCCTGGGCCTTTTTCTTCCCCTGCTTGCTCAAAAGGGGGGAAGAAAAGGATTTTTTCCTTCTAGTTCCAAATACCTATCGGAGGTTCTATTTTTAGGAAGAGAGGAAGAGCACTCCTCCTGCATCACAAGGCTCAGCCAGCCTTCTGTTGCCGCTTACTCCCTTGCAACCACTAAGAGCTTTCCAGGCAGCTGTTTACGAGACCTCCCTTTTGGGCAGAGGAAGCGTTGCAGGCAGGGCAGAGGGGCATCCCTGCCAGCTTTTCCTCAGAGCCTTCTGCTCCAGAGAGCTTGCAGTCTTGCAAGACGTGGCAGCTTTTGGGCAGGATAGGAATTTGATACCTACTACACTACCCATGTATAGTTGGGGGGCCCAAGAGCTGTAGGTGGAGCTCATGAGGTTGGGGCTTTGTCCCACAGGTGGGTCTCTGGGTGGGTTTGGGTGAGCCAGAAATGCTGCCATCTCCAGCAAAGCTACTCTTGGTGCGGGGGAGGGCTTCTCCCAAAGGAGCACAGCTGGAGGAGCTGAAGAGGGTCCCTGACCTACAAGGGGACACAAAGTAGGGCAGGAAGGACGGCCTCCTTTTCCTCTCCCTCCTCCCTGTGTTGGAGGGCACTTGCATGAGCTCACTGCCTGCCCTTCTATTGAGCCGAGAATGTTAAGTGGCACTTGGTAGGGAGGGATGCTGTCTGTTCAAATGCACAGACGGCCTTGAATTGCAGGAGGCCACATAAGGCTGAGCTGTCTGAGGAATGCAGCCTCCAAAGGAACCATGAGGACCAGGAAAGTTGCGGGCTGGGGGGGGGAGGGGGGCAACCTCAGGTCAAGCCATCAAATGGTGGGTGGGCGGGTGGAATGAAGAGCATCTCCCTCTAGATAACAGAGACCTTACCAAATGCTCAAAAGTGGTATTGTCTTCTCTTGTCAACCAAGGAAGAACAGGCAATAGCTTCAGGAGTTTGAGGAGGGGGGGAAGCATATGGAATACAAATGGGGAAGGATGATGGCAAGGGCACATTTGCATATCTTTCCTTCACATTCCTAAGGTTAGTGCAAAAAAAATAACATTATATACCAATGGAAATGGCTGCAATATCCTTCAACTTTGGAAAACAATAACCCCCCCCTTTTTTTTCCCCCTATCAGATTGAAGAAAGGCTTAACAAGTGAAGGAAAACACTGATTGTCAACCAAATTCAAATATTCCCTTGCCTTTTTTTCTGAACAGAGAGACGTTTTCCATTTCTGCAGCCTTTCGGGACTTGGGAGGCAGGAAACGAAATAAAACCACAAATTCTTCTGGGCTCCTCAATGGAAGACGCCAAAGGAAACAAGGCTCTGGAGTTGCAACAGCCAGTCTGGCTGACAAAGAAGCCACGGGTCAGGGTTGTGATGCTGCCAGGAGCGGGGCAGCAGGTAAATGCTTTGGGGCTCTTGCCTCCCCTGAGTAACTATCACCAGAGCACTGACGCAGCTACTTGATAGGCAAAAGAACATATTCCAGGAGCAGACGACCAAGCTGCAGAGGAACCTGACACACGTGTCAGTCAGACATGTTTCTACAAGCCCAATAAGCAAAGACAAGCCACTTTCGATTGGGAGCTTGGCTTGTATAGCAAGCCATGGTTTGCATAGTCACACTTCACTGAATAAACCGCAGCATTGGTTTGTCGCACACACAGAAACGCCCGTGGATGGATTCACAGCTGAACAAATGCTAAGGTTGCTCTGAAGACGCAGAGACACACCCCGGTTGTAGCTTATTCACAGCTTTTATTTCTTTCCAGTCTCCTTCAGGCCCACTGACCCAGAATCCGAACACCTGGGGAATAAAGCCTTAGGAGTTCTGCTTAATAACAACTTGCAACAATCCTTTAAAAGGCTACTTGAAGAAAGCCCCCCTCCCCCTTTTCTTGCAAACAATCCTCAAACCCTTAAAAAAACCCACCGACCCATTGCTCAGAACTTAACCAAAGGAAGCGCCTCCTTCCCTCCAGGCTTGAGACCCTCCTCCACAGGGCCCGAAGATCTGGAACCCAGGGCACTTTTCTTTAAAAAATATACTTTGAAAAATAATGTTCCATAAAAATACTATTGTTTCTAGTCAAACACAGATATTGCAATATCAAGGGTTAACTGCTTTGTATTCTCTCTATAAAACGTGAAGAGTATTTGTTACACGGAGAGATGTAGAAAAAAACCACCAAGAACTTCTAGAGTATCACAAAAGCAGATACAAAATGAGCAAGGTCAGCTGTGGGGACAGGAGGGAGAGATTCGGCTAAACAATTATGCTCAAGTCAGGAATGGCCTTCTGGTCTTGCTTGGGCATCACAAACCTCTTTGGAAAGCTGCTTTCCATGCACACGTTGATCCCAAATCCCTTGCCACGATGGCCAAGGAGCAGGCACCCAAGCGCATAATAAATATTCGTACAAGAGTTAAGTCTCCCATGCTGATTTCCCCCCCAAAATTAAAAAAAAAAAATCCAGTGAATTAACCCAAAGACACAGGCAATTAAAAAAAAAAATGTAAACTACAGTTTCCCCACAAAATGTTTTGTTGCTATATAAACCGCTAACGGAATGAGGGCCGATGGTGCTAAAACTGTATTAAAAGTGTCTTAATAAAGTATAGCATCTGTACTTAGTGGCGTGGGGAACGTCCAATTGGTAGTACAGAGTAGGTCCGATGGAACTGGGAAAAGAGAAGCACCCCTTTTTGCTGCCTCGGCCCCGAGGAAGAGGTTCCCTGACCGAACGAGGCAAGACGAAAGCTGAGACGGCCACAGCCGCCCTCTGGGAGCCGACGGGCAGGACGAGCAGTGCATCGCTCCGATGGGGGAGACAGTCAGGCAAATGTGCAACAGTTCCTGTCTGCTGCTCTGTAGTGTCAGCAGCCCTCAGTTCTCTGAGAGGGAGAGTGCCAGAGCTGCCTGCAAGGCCGCTTCCTCATCGATGTTATAGTCCTGGAAAGAAGAGAGGAGAAAGTCATATCAAAGAGCGGAAGAGCCCCCACCTTCCATGCACAGCAGGCTGGAGTTCAGAATGATTTTAGAGGTCATCTAGAACCCCTTGCTCTCTGCAGAATCCACTGATACGCCTCAGCTAAGATGATCACTCAGCCTTTGCCTGACCATCTCCAGTGAAGGACACCTCATCTCTTCATGAGGCAGCTCTTCCTCTGGCTGACAGTTCATACTGTTAGGTCTAGCTTGAATCTCCATCCTTGAGTTTCCACCCACTGGGTCTGCTCCTGCCCGCTGAGCAATAGGCCTCCTTTCTCTTCTGGGTTCCCTTTGTTGCAGAGTACACCTGTCCAGGTCCTCCCTCAGAAGCCTTGGTTTCTAGACTTTTCACCCTCTTGGTGGTCTTCCTTGGAAGTCACTCTAACCTGTAGCACTGTCCTTTAGAACTGGACACACTAATTTTAAATGGGATCTGAGCAGGATAAGGTAGGAGGGAAGGAGGATGTTTTGAAACCTGTGCCTATTATTATATCCATAATGGTGCGGGGGGGGAGGCACAGAAAAACACCTCTTGAGACCAACCAATTCTTGTGACCTTATTTGAGGCCACCAGGAAGGCAGGCACTTTTCCAAGAGCAGGACATGAAGAGCACTAAGAGGAAACCACTCCAATGTTGTCATAACTCCTCCCACAAGGGCAGTTTGCTCTGCCTTTATTTATTTAAAGGCGATTCTCATGCTGCCTTTGGAGCCTGGAAGCAGCAGACACGATCTACTGAAATAAGATGCTGCGGAACGCAAAACCCACCACAAAAGTGTCATAGGAAAACTTGTGCCGGTGCAGGAGGTGCTGTAGAAAGTTGGCACTCTTGTAACTGGGGTCCCCCCAAGGCATGGCTGAGCACACTGGACAGACCTGGAACACCCAGGAAGGGAGAGAGGAAGAGGACGGTCAACAAAGAAGAAAAAACACTTAATTCCAGGATAAGAGTGATAGCTAAAAGCAGTGGTGTGATCACTTGATGGGGAAAAAAAGAGAAAGAAAACAATTTCCTGTTGCACAGCATGCAGAATTCAGCTGCAAAAATGCATGAAATACTTGCTATGAAATACCCTAATTGCAGATGTATTAATATTCTATGCTCTATAAAATTGGATATTAAACAGCACCATCAAATAAAGCTCTAAACAATCACAAGATCATACACAAACCGAGCAATCAAATGAAGCTGGTATAAAGGGAGGCATGCTTTTAGATCTCCAGGACACTTCCATGAGGGAAATACACCCAGTTCCCAAGATACATTTAATTTCTTTAGCAGCTCCCACATGCAAAATGAAAGGGACAAGGTAAGCACAGTCTGAGAAGCCTATCTGCCACTGCAGATGCAGAGATGTGTTTCATGATCCCTGGTTCGCAAAAGCAGGGCAGGGCACTCCAGCCACGGCATAAACATGGGGAGGAAATAGGAGGCAAAAGCTCTCCCTTGTTTCAAATAAGAGACAACTTCTTTCTTATTCCCAGCTTTCTGCTAATCTGGCTTTCCGTTTCACTGAACAGGGACATGAACGCAACTCACCACTTTGTTGGGGTCACTGCGGTGATTCTCCATGCAATGCTTCACTAGCTCCTGCTGGTCCAAGTTCCGTGCTCCACAATAGGGACAGACAAACGTGGACCGGTTTGGAATATTGCTGAAAGGGAGAGCAGCACAGCTCAGTGGCTGGAAGACGGGTGGACCTCAGTTCAGCATGCTGGCTGAGGAATTCTGGGAATTGAAGTCTACCCTATTCTGGGATTCTGGAGTCTGTTTAACTTGAGAAACACTGACCTATAAGGACAATACATCTACAGTTCTTTATTAAAGAGATGCCTGACTCTCTCTCTCCCTCCTAACCTTGCTTGAGAGTGCAAGAGGTATTCTAAAACCTGGAAATCAGCGAGTTGGAGAGTGGCTCAAAGCCACAAAGAAGGAAATACCTTGGAATAGGTTGGGATGTTGGGACGACAGGCACAAACTTTGGACAGTTGGCCATTTGTTCCTGGACTTTAGCACAGGATGTGACGTGAGATCTCATCTTTGCAAGGGTCACCTGGGATACGAGAAGGATTAAAAGAGAGCATGGATATCCATTTGAAGCCTTCTGTAGTTTTGTTTTTTTTTAACCACAGGCCACTCACAAAAGCAGGGTGGCTTATAATTATGCAGCTTTGCTGCCTCCACCTATGCGCACAAGCCCTTAAGGTTACCTTTTTACTGCATCCTCGACATGGCGCCTTGAAGGAAGACAGCTGCTTTTCCACACTGGAGGCCTTCTCCACCTTCTTGGGGTCAAAGGGCATGCGGCAAAGGGGACAGAGGGGAGATGGAACTTGGAGGCAGGGCTGCAGGCATTCCCCACAGAACCTGCGGAAGGAGGAGGCTTGATTTCTCCCAGAGCCTGGACAGTTGTGGGAAAACTACACACACTGCTCAAAAGGTAATGCGAAGAGGGGATGGGTTCCCCTCCCAAGACGGAGGGCTGGTGGGCTTCAGACAAGAGGAGGCCCAAAGGCATGCAGAACAACTTCACATCTCCTAGATCAGGGGTCTCCATAATGGGCAACTTTGAAGACTTGTGGAGTTCAACTCCCGGGATTCCACAAGTCTCAAAGCTGCCAAGTTCGGAGATCCCTCTACTCGATCACGAACTCTGCACAAAAACCAGCAAAACTGACAAGATACTTTGGAGCGTTTGCTGCCATCTGTGGCAGAAGGTATATGTATTTGTATTTATTATGGCTGTTCACCACCCTGAGTCCTTCGGGAGTAGGGCGGTATACAAATATGAAAAATAAATAAATAAATAAATAAGGTCTCCTGGCTTTACGAGAGGAATTCCTTCTTTCCTCCCCTCCCCTCCCCTCCCCTCCCCTCGGGCTTAGGAATTCCTCTCCAAGCGCCAAGCGGGAAACACCTCCCCCCCCAAAAAAATAACCTTGCAAACCAAGGATGCCGGAGCAGAGCCAGGGCCCTCCTTGGTCAGAGGGGAATTCCGTTGGGGCCCTGGGAGGCTTCCCTGGAGCCCATCCGGGGACTTCAGCCGCTCCCCCTCCCCCCGCCAACGCCCCGGGGGCCAACCCTGCAGCCCCCCCCCGCCCCCCCGGCCCCCCCCCCCCCCCCCCCCAGGCCCTTTCCCTCCGGCCCCCTGGCCCCCCCTCCTCCCTGCCCCCCCGTCTCCCCCACCCCCGCTCACGTGTGCCTGCAGGGGGTGATGCGGACGGGGCGCTGGTAGACCTCCAGGCAAATGGGGCAGCTGAACTGGGCCTCCAGCGCGGCGCCGGGCTCGGGCGGGTGAGGCGGCGGCGGGGCGGGGGCGGCGGCCGCGGAGGGCGCCTCGCGGGACCCCCCCGCCGACACCAGCAAGCTCCGGAACATCGCGGCCGCCATGGCGGAAGGGGAGGCGGGCGGGGGATGCGGCGCATCCCAACTACGTCATCGCCCCCGCGACCTCGCCGCGTCCCAGGCCGGGACGGTCCCGGAGTTTTCCTCCACCCCTCCCCGCGGCTCTCGCGAGACTTCCCCGCGACGTGACGTCATCGCGGCGCGCGGGAGCGCGAAGGGGCCCTCTGGGAATTGTGGTCTCCCGGCCGGGGGAGGACGCGCTCCACGTGGCCCGGGCGGAGGCGGCGATGTGCGACGGCGGGTCGGGCGGCTGCGGAGGGGAGGCGCTCCCGAGGGAGAGGCCCCGGGGCCGGTGAGGAAGCCCTGCCCGCTGGCCGTGGCGGAGGGGAAGCACGCCAGCCATCCACGGCCGCCGTTGCATGAAGCCGTCCATGAGGAGGCCGGTCCTGACCTTAAGCAGCGGCTCGTTCAGCAACCTGGGCTGAAGCAAACCACGGCTCGGCCCACGTGCTCAGGCCGCCTTTTATCAACGGTGGCAACGTTTGAGGCGGGTGGACTTCAACTCCCAGAATTCCGCAGCCCAATGGATGGATGGCTGAGTAGGCTGGGGGATTCTGGGAGTTGAAGTCCACCCGCCTCAAACGTTGCCACCGTTGATAAAAGGCCGTTTATAGGCGAGAGGGATTTCGTTTTGCCACCGTCTCGACTTCCGTGCGGTAGAGATGCAGGAGAGGGTAAGATTTGGGTATCTGGTGAGGCTCTTTTGCAACCTGACCTTCACTTTCTCTTCTCCAAGCTGCGACTCCAAATGCGTCAAGTGCAAGGATGGCTCCCCGGTGGTGAGCATTCGTGCTGGAGATGCCTTCTGCAAGTAAGGGCAACTGAGGGACCTGCAGAATTTTGAATAATTCAGAACTGGTCTCTCCGTCCTTGGGCAGAATTTTTTTCCCCTGGCAATGAATCTGGCCTTTCCTCCACTCCGTTTCATGTGCTTTTCAGGAGCTGCTTCAAGGACTACTTCATTCACAAGTTCCGTGCCATGCTTGGGAAGAATCGCTGCATTTACCCTGGAGAGAAGGTCCTGCCCTGTCGTAATCTATACTGCTTCGGGGCAAGAGAGATGGGCAAGATGGCAACTAAAAGCAGGAAACAAATATTGTGATGCTTTCTCCCTACTGTTTTAGGTTCTCCTGGCTTTTTCGGGGGGCCTTGCTTCCAGCTCAATGTTGAGGCAGGTGCAAGAGGTATGTTACACTTCCAAGCAGGAGGGGCAGCCAAACAACAGAAGCCCCCAGTAGATGAAGCATGATAGCCTGGGCAAAGTTTTTGAATCGAAGCCTGCTTTGCTTCCTCTTGTCAGGGCCTCAACCGAGAAGCAGCCAAGAAACTTCGCTTCAGACCAGGAATAATCTACATTGATGGTTTGTGTTGACAGTCCTGTGCGTTCTCCATAATTTTGGGGGCGGGGGGAGGGAACGGAGTCATTGTGCAGGCAGTTTGTTTGGACTGAAATGTTGTGGCTTGTGAAGATGGCCACTTTCCTGAGAGATGCAGAAGGTTGCTTAGGGAAGTTGATTTCCAAAGTTGATTCCCTTTGAGCATATTAACTGTCGAGCATTATTGGGCATTGAAAGGTTGAAATCACTCATCCTTCTAAATCAGGGGTGGCCAACTATGGCAACTTTATAACCTGCAACTTCAATTCCCAGAATTCCTGGCTGGCTGAGTTCAAGTCCACAGATCTCTCTCACTGCAAGTCTAATATTTTACATGGTTGAAGATACCATGGCAGGGAATGTTCCCAGGGCTGTTGAAGTTTTAGCCATCTCACCTTGCTGACAGTTTTGGTTTTACTGTGCAGAGGGAGCTGTGTGTGGACGGAGCTTGGACGAGCGAGCGAAAACCTGCAGGCAGGTAGAGGCTATCCTGCAAGCCACAGGATTCCCCTATCATCTGGTGTTCTTGGAGGAGGTAAACATGGCTGAGATTCAGCACCCTTACTGCAGCACATTTTGGTGATATGGCATCAACAGCAGTGGCCTTAGCCATCTGGCTGCCTTGATGTGATTTGCCTGGAAGGAAATGTTATTATTAATAGTAGTATTGTTCCGCAAATTAAATTAGAGCAGTGTTTCACATTCTCAGCAATTTTGGGGCTGGCTGGGGAGTTCTGAGCTCTACATATCCGGAAGTTTCTGAGATTGAGAAACCCTGAATTAGAGCATCAGAAAGGAAGATCCTAGGAAGATCCCAGGCAGGACAGAATTATCATTCTTCCATCAAGTATAATCCTTTGTGCGCTGAGTATGAACTCTGGTCCAGATTAATCTGCCCACTTTTGTATTATGGAAATAAAATAACAGAGGATCAGAGAAAACTTGTGAAAGGGGAAGTTGATAACATAGATGCACTTCTAGTATTGTCACTCTCAGAAAAAAAAAGTAAGAGAAAAGCAGCATTAAGCTTGACAAGGCAGGAAGGAAATATAATTCCTAGTTCTGAAAATCTGTCAAAGCGATTGCAGTTTGTGCAGGATTGACACTTTTCCTTCAGTCAGCGTTTGACCCAGCTTGTGTCCTCATGCTCTTTCATAGGTGTTTGACATTCCCACTTCTGTCCTGAACTCGCTTACCCAGAGTCCTGTTGACCAGGCTCACAACTACAAAGAAGCAGTGGCTGATTTCACGAGGTGGCAGCAGCAGCGGGAGAAGAGGGCTGATGCGGCGACTTCCCTGGAGGACTGGCTGGCAGAGTGTAGCATGCAAGGCTTCTTGTGGCAGGAACGGCTGGCGGTTCTGGACGAGACTGGCTCTTCCCTTGCTTCCCACTCGGAAGAGCTGGCCCGCCTCTTTGGGGGTGTCAAATCCCTAACTGCAAAAGAGGAGCTTCTGCAGACCCTCCGGTGAGCTCCTTGGCCAGATCCTGAGTGAAGATATTAATGCCCACAATGTGAGCTGGATGAGTGAGCTCCACTCTTCTAAAAAGAAGCTTTGCAGGGGTCTTCATGCATTCTTGCTCTCTAGCAAGAGAGGGTCATTCAGTGCCATTTCCTAGCTCAGGAGCCTCAGGAAACAGGCTGATGTTCCTGATAGAAGGATGACTTTGCAAGCAGCCCCTAAACTTAGAATGGGGTTCATAGTCAAAAGGCTGTTTCATCTGGTCCTTCTAGATTGCGGATTCTGTGGTATTCTAGGCTGCTGTTTCTAGGAAAACAAACGTTTTATTGTTTTCTGGGCCCCTGGTTAGATCCCAAATTCTAAGATCTCTCTGCTTTTTAGGACCCACCTGATGCTGCACGTGGCTCGGAGAAACGGATACACGAAGGTGATGGTGGGAGACAGCTGCACCCGTGTGAGCGTCAAGCTGCTGACCAACCTCTCTCTGGGACGTGGGGCCTTCCTGGCTATGGACACGGTGAGAACAAAGCGGCTCATGGTTTCCCCACCCATTGACACAGTTTTGGTCTCCTCAGGAGATTCCTGGCCTTGCTCTTTGGTTTAGACATGTCCATCCTCGCAAGCAACTTCCCCGAGCTTTATGAAGCCAAGTCTGGTCCCTGAAGAGGGAAGGAAAGTCCTGACCTAAACCTGCGTAGAGTCCAGTAGCTAAGACTTCACATTTCACCCAGGATAAGCCCACTCAGAAATATTTTCCAAATTCCAAACACACACAGAATAATCCTGCAGGAGGAGAGCAAGGTCTTCGCAATTTAGGCTTCCATGCTGTGGCCGGATAAACCAGTTGGAGCTTTCCCTACATTAGCTCAATCTCTGTTCCAGAATCCTCCTGTGAAGTTGTGGTACAAGGGTGCCCCTTGCCTCTGAGCAGCTCTGCCTGGTCTCTGATCTGGCACTGCTCCCCCTCCCCCTTTTTCCTTTCTCCTTCCCCAAAGGGCTTCTTGGACAGCCGCTACGGGGACGTCCTGATCCTGCGTCCGATGCGGGAATATCCTGCCAAAGAGATCGCTTTCTACAACTACCTCTTTGGGGTGCCCACCGTCTTCACGCCTGGACTGGACACCAAAGTAGGCCGTTAGGAATTTGGCTGGAAGGGACCGAGGCTTCCCTTCAGTGGGTCAGGAGGGTCTGAGCAGCCATGACAGATGCTTTCACTTCCTCCAGGCCTCTGAGAGAGCCAGCATTCACCTCCTGATAGAGAGCTTTCTCTGCAAGCTGCAGTCGGAATTTCCCTCCACCCTCAGCACAGTCTACCGGTGAGTGTCCCTCCCCTTGTCCAGTAAAAGACAACAAACTGCTGGATGAAATTCCTTGCAAAGGTTCAGCAGTGGTGTCCATTAGGCACAACTCCCTTCCCACACTCTCACGGACCCTCTGCAGCTCTGGTTACATTTCTCGGCTTCTCTGGGAAAAGCAGAGCAAGCCAGATAACAGATATGAGGGTGTTTTTTGACTTGTTTTCTGAAAACCCAGCTCACCCCTCTTGCCTGCGTTTAATGGACAGGACCCTTTCAGCTGCCGACTTGCAAGCGCCTTCTTAAAGCAAGTGGCATCTAGTCCCAAGGGCGTTTATGTCCCCTCTTCAGGAGGTGCAGGTAGCGTGGATGGGTCAGGCAGGTGGGCTTCCCTCCAGTTCTCTTCCTGATGCCCCCTCTGGTCTCTGTTCCAGGACAGGAGAGAAGCTGAGTACAGTCCCTCCAGAGGTCCAGTCTGATGTTTTGACAGCACCGGCCCGCTGCCTCCTCTGCCTCTGCCCCCTGGACACCAATGTTGGCAAGTGGTCTTCTCTTGGAGAGGAGATGACCCACTTCTAGATTAACTTTTGGTACCTGCCGGGGATTCTAGAACAGACAAGGGCCGACATGCTAGCCAGATCTTCACGGTGTCAGAATTGCAGCCAGTCTTCCTTGGCACAACCCAGGAGTTGAAATATTGGGTGGGGCTCTTTCCCTCCCTGTTGCTTTGCCAAACAGGCATGGAGATAAATGCAAATTTGCTGCTTAAGCAAGGAGAGTTTGCTTGGTGGAACTGAAAGATAAAGAGGCGGCTGCCTGCTGGTTTAACACATCCAGGGCCATTATTGAATCCTTGAGTCCTGGGTGCTATGAGGTTC